CCCCAAAACCCCAAAACCCCAAAACCCCAAAACCCCAAAACCCCGGATTTGAGTAAAATTTTTGATTTTGGAGATTTTAAGTAATTTTAAATTTAAAATGGACGAAAATTTAAACTTAGAGTCTGAAGCGAGGGAACAATACAGGTAAGGTTTTGGGATTGATTTGGTAGTGAGTATAAGGATGGATTGATTACTGAATCGAAGCATACTTTTACTGAGATATCGAAGAATAAAGACTATGATAAGTATATCGACCATTCTGTGGAATCAGTACGAGGGAAGAATGAGCAATTGTCTACGCTGAATAAGGAAAATCTCAAGCCCATCTATCAGAACGAGTCTTTACCAAATTCTGATGTCTCTGAGATATCTGTAACAGGACGTTCTTCCTCAAATCGTTCTGCTGAGGAATGAGTTTCTCAAAGAGAAGATGATTCCTGCACTGAAAATACCGAAGAGAGTATTGTTGAAGCAAATAACCGCAAAATGGTCACAATGAAAGCTTCCTTTCATAGAGAAGGAAGAGAGGGCTACTTCTCACATGATAGAAAAAAAAGGAAGAAGAAAAAGAAGCATTTTAACATGACTACTAAATTTAATGAGTGAACTTCAAAACCAATCCTCAAAGACAGAAAGACTAATTATACTGCATCTCATGGTGAACTGTTAAGGAGAAGGGCCAAGACAAAACCTCATACAATCACCTCCTCAACAAGAGTGAGCCAGAGGAGATCTAAGAGAAAGTCTCAAAACTCTAGTGTATCAAAGAGTAGGAATAAATTTAAATCTTGAAAGGGGTCAAAGAAGCGGATGTTTATAGAGACTACAAAGAACTCAGTTCTATGCAAACTTGTTCCATCCAAGGACTACTATCCCAGAATGAATATCACTCCTATTGGCTCTGAAGTATGCTCTGCCAAGCATGCTCAAAAGCCTTCTGATGACAAATTCGAGGTCATTCGCAAGATGAACAAGCTGAAGTACGAACTTCGTGAGAAACAAGCAAAACTTAGAATTCTTCAGGAAAAATGTCGTGATAACAAGAAGAAGCTCAAAGATCGCCGCAAAAAGGACCATAAGAGGAAGGATAATATTGAATTTTTAGAGTACAAGCTTGAAGAGATGAGGCTAAATGAGGAACAACTCATCGATGACCTTTATAACCAGCAGAACATGGCAAAGGATGCTATTAGATCTATGGAAAACTTAGCAAAGCAGTTTGAAGGAGAGAGATCGAAATTTAAGAGAGAGTCTGAAAAGCAAATTCAGATTTTAGTCAAAAAGGAAGCTAAAATGTGGCAATATAAGGTAGAATCTCTAAAGACTGTAAATGATACTCTTACAAGAAGGATACAAGGGTATGAAGAACAAGAACAAATGCTTGCTGAAACTGAGGAAAAGAACACAGAGTTGAAAGAACAAATTGTTGAGCTAGAAGAAGATTTAGAGAGAGTGAGAGGTGAAAGAAAAGGATACAAAGAAGAGAATCATAAATTGATGAAGAGGCTTATACATATGGAAGAGATAGTGAAGCTCAATAAGTCTTTAGTGGTAAGAATTCATAGGATTAATCTTTAACCTTTATAAGCTACTTCACAGCTCAAAATGTATGTAACTAAACCTTAAAGCAAAATATCTACCTTTTGACCCTGATTAAAAAAATTTTCCTTTGAATTAATTTTTATTTTTAGACTTCAGCAGAAGAAGCATGAAGCTCAAAATTCAAAGAGCAGATTGCACATAAAAATAAGCAAATAAATCACTTAACTGCTAAGATTCAGAGCTGTGAACATGAGAGCCAGAAGAGAAGTAATTGGATCTATAATACATAGCCGCTAAACTCCAAAAAGAAATAGAATTATTAAAGAAAGAGCTCCTTGAGGAAAGATTTAAGAAAGAAGACAACGAGATGGAAATTCAAAAATATCATAAATACATTTTTGAGAACGACAAAAAGATGAAGAATAAAGATCGCTTCCAAGATAGCGCTGAGGATCATTTTGAATCAACTGATAAAGACACAAGTTGGATAAAGGTTAACTTTGAGAATTAAATTTTAGACTTATAAATCTTTATCGAAAGATCTTCATATTTTGAGACAAGAAATCCATGGGTTAAGAGATTCTCCGCAAGATCTTGATAATAAAGAGAACTTATCATACAATACAATGAATCAAAAATTCTTAAAGCCTGCCTTGGCTGGGAGCTCAAAGGTCAATTTTTACAAACCATTACGCAAACCATTAAATGAGAGTTCAAAGTATAAGTCAGACAGTAAACCTTTACCAATGACGGATGATGATCAAGCCTTGCCCACTTTTTATGAATAATTCAGCCAGAGATTTTATTGTAAATATAATATATAAATATTTCAATAATTTGATCCCCTCCAGGGGTTTTGGGGTTTTGGGGTTTTGGGGTTTTGGGGTTTTGGGG